TTGATGATGTGATATACGTATAGATTTGTTGTTAGAATAATTGAATAATTGAAAAAATAATCGTTAGATTAATCAATTAGAAAATAATCGTTTGGTTCAGCACTATTTTCAAGTTTCAAATGTCTGTAAATTAGTGCAGCAAATATAGAGGAAACCTGTCACAGTCTGTGTTCACAGCAACATGCCCCCACCCACCATTTGGCCTGTGAGATGTCAGTTGTTATTAGTGTTAACAAGCAGATGCATTGGACTGCTGAGGCCTTTGCTGTGCAGATACTGGGTGCATACGTATGTGTGCCTGCAGCACTGGTTTACACTAATTACACTCCCTGTAATGACATTGGGCTAATAAGTCCTCGTGCGTCTGTGAAAGTGTTCATGTCTGCTAATGTAGGCAACAAGAGCCGGACTGTCATTCTGAGAGTGAGGCTGACTTTATTTTGCTTCAGCTTAAAAAGGTGATGAGCAAATGTCAAAATACAGGAACACAGTCCTGCTTGGAAATGCACACTGAAAACACACACTTTTCTCACAATAGCATCAGCATAAACGTTTCCTCTTATCATTTGTGTCTTAATACTGTTCTGCTAAAGTTTTTGTACTGTGTCAGGTTGTGCTAGCCTGGTAAAAAACAGACCCTTGTCCTTCACTTCCTCCACTGCCATATGCTAAAATAACTAGCAGACACTGCGGAGAACAACGACGTCATTCAAAACTCCACCTTCTGTTTGTTGATTGGCCCAGGTAAAATAAATTACAAGCAGACACTGCGGAGAAAATCGACGTTCTGTTCTCTGATTGGCCCGGACAAAAACTCTCCTGAAGAAATCCTTGTCTATGGGAGAAGTCCCAGACGGAGCAGTGAAGGGAAACTAGAACTGAGCGGAGCTGCGTACGAAGGCAAGGGCCAGGCTAATATTTTGATGTCTTTTAATGCTTCTCACACAAATGTAATTTAAGTTTTATGATTTATTTTTGATAGATTTTTCCACAGATTTTTTTTCTTCTTAAGAAAGCGAGTAGCTAGATGCTGCTTCTGCTGCTAAACCTGCCTTCAGTCTGGCACTTTGTCATTGCCCATATATGGAATGGAGCTGTTTTTTCAGAGCAACAGATGGAAAACTCGCTAAAATAATTCTTAAAACAATTTAGTGTTATTTTTAAAGAATTTCAATTAAACATACCTGGGATTATTATTATTTATCCAACATATTTTGCTAGATATATAATTTGAAAACATGGTGGGTCGTGGATTTTAAGTTGACTGTAGATGTAGGGCTGCCACGATTAGTCGACTAGTCACCATTATTATCGACTATTAAATGCATCGACTAATTTGATAGTTGATGTGTCGTTTTTTAATTTTTAACTTTGTTTTTCTCTCCAAACTGCTGCGGCACCTTCGTCTGCCTTTCTGTCCTTGACACACATACAGAGTAGTGCTAATTAGGGCTGCCACAAATGATTATTTTATAGTCGACTTATCTGTGATTAGTCGACTATAAAAAAAATACAGTTAGAAAAAAACAGACGCATCGACTTTTAAATTAGTTGTTGAGGATTTTAATAGTTTACATAACTGTGACTAGTCGACCAATCGTGGCATCTTTTGCAAAAAAAATAAAAAAAAAGAGCTTACTCCCACAACTCTTTTGCACAAACATAAACAGGCTGGCCTGGGAGCGTCTTGGGATTCCCCCGGATGTGCTGGTCCAAGTGGCTGGGAAGAGGGAAGTCTGGGTGTCTCTGCTTAAGCTGCTGCCCCCCCCACGACCCGACCCCGGATAAATGGAAGAAAACGGACGAAAGGACAAATTATACATCAAAATATAAGCATTTTACCTACAAAACACTGGAAATATTAAAAATACTTGTGATCTTCAGAGTTTTCTGCTGCTCACTATTTGAGAGTTTTAAAAATCTAGCTCATAATTTTTGCACAGTAAATGTTTGAGTCTTATTTTTCAGTTGGTCTCATTAACTTAACAGTCAGGGTAAGTGGTTACCAGCAGCAGCTTTGACATTTCTTTTGATCGTAGTTATTACACTTTTCAGGCATTTTTTCTTAAATTTTTTACAAAACTATGTTGTAATTTTTACAGTAGCTGTAATGAAAGCTTAAAAAAAATCCAGTTCTTTCTTTCCTGCAGCAGTGGTTTGGACCAGATGTGTGTTTTGTGCACATGATATGTAAATGAGGGGCACTTTTTTGAAGTCTTGAAAGGAGCGTTTGCTAGTGTTGGTTTGATTTTTGGATTCAGAAGTGGGTGAATGGGAAAATAATCACAGAAGAAAAGAGGAAGGAGGGGTGTCACCCAGTGCAGGGACTGGTCTTCTGAAGGGAGGGGGAAAAAGAAGTGGATGAAGGAGCGCCGAGTGGACGAGGCAGAGCGAGGTGTGCCTTTGGTAAGAAGAGAAGCCATGGCAGCTGGCGCTCAGGACGGAGGGGAGCAGCGCTTCTAAAAACAAGCTCAGCTGAATAGTGGTCGTGACGAGGCGCTGGAGGCCACATTCTTTGAGTAGAGCAGCGGAGGGAAGCAGAGAAACACTGCCCAAACTGCTGGAGAGCAGGGGAGGCACCATGAAGTACAGACCTTTGGTAAGACGATGAGACACACAGTGACGGTTGCAGAAATGTTACGCAGAATGTGATGAAATCTGAACGTGTTTTTTTAGGGTTCACTGATGCTTTAAGAGACAGTCAAGTTTGAACTTGTGGGAATGCAGCCAGGATAAATGGGTAAAAAGTTGTCTCCTGGTCTGAAGAAACAGATTGTGTAACAGCCTTGATGGTGTGTTGTTGTTGGGTTTTGAAGGACACAGGTGAGAGTGAATCCCTGCGTTCTTGGCATTGATGTTGATGTTATGTCTCATGGAATGCAGTGTGTGTAAATCCAGTTTTTAGCTGGTTTTCTTCTCAGCATATTCACGCACCTCGCCTCTGTATTTGTCACATAGATGTCAGAGTCTGATCTGTTTGATGTTCAGCAGTCAAATGGGTGTCCCCATCTCTCTCTCTGTGTGTACTTGTATTTGTTACCTCTTTAGGACCCTTTCTGGTAAAGTCCAGTGGTCCTTATGGGGACCAACTCCATTTTTGGGTTGGGGGTTAGAGTTAGGACTTACGTACTAATTGAGTTTAAGCTAGCTTTACGGTTAGGTATGTGGTTAGGTTTAGGGTAAAGGGTTCAGTAGAAATGACTGGAAATGAATGGAAGTCAATGAGCGGTCCTAATAAAAGTAGAAATACAAAATTGTGTGGTCTGTGTTTGTGTACTTGTTTTGACTACAGAGTGAGGACCATTTTTTCTAAAGTTACTATCAAAGTGAGGTCTTTGATAGGGTTGGGCATAATCGTATCGTGTGCAATTAAACGTCAGAAAAACATTAATCGGTTATTTTTTTGGCACTTGACAATTAATACGATTAATCATCAAATTATTCGTTATTGGCTAAATATCACAATATCAATATCAATATATGATTAATTTTTTGGCCAATATCGCCCAAACCTAGTCTTTGATGTAAAGTGAGGACCTCTTCAGTGTCCTCACTTTGTTTGCAGCTCTACTGTGCTTTACCAGTTAAATTTAGAGGTGTGGTGTGTATTAAGTTTTGGTTCAGGTTACTGTTAACTATAGACCAGTAATGGTTAGTTTTAGGGAAAATGTCCGGGTTAGATATAAATGCAATTACAAAAATGAATGGAAGTCAATACAATGTCCTCAGTTTGATGCTAATACAAGGACGTGTGTGTGTGTGTCCTTGGTTTTGCTAATTGGTGGGGACGATTTTTCAGGAAAATGCACCGTTGTGGGGACTGAATGCTCCTTGCGGGGACTAAAGCCCGGTCCCCACAACTTCAGAGGCTGATTTTGAGTGTGGGGTTAGTTTTAGGACCAAGGTGTGAATTGAGTTTAGGTTAGTTTTAGGGTCAGGTAACTGTGAGGTTGGGCAGGGTTAGGATATAAAATTACCAAAAAATGAATGGAAGTCAATGGAAAGTCCCCACAAGGATAGAGAGACATAGCAGGTGTGTGTG